CGTTTCCCCAGTCCTATTTCTTTGCGGGCCGTTTTCCGTCGGCCTCTTTTTTGGCCCCCCCCCCCCCCCCCACGCCACGGCCTCCCACCCACCTCCTTCTCTGAGGGAGGGTGCAGAGGATGTAGAGTGTAGAGCGCTGTAGAGCTGTAGAGATGTAGAGCGCTGTAGAGCTGTAGAGATGTAGAGCGCTCTGGAGCGCTGTAGAGCTGTAGAGCTCTAGCCTCTACATCCGGCGCGTGACGATGTGAGTCCGATGTAGAGCGATGTAGAGCGCGATTTTGCTGTAGAGTTTGTTGTAGAGGCTCTACAGCAAAACCGCCGGGGAGGCAGTGCCTCAAAGAGGTCGAGCCGCGCTAATGGGGTGTCTCCGAGCTTACTGGAGCTCTGGTGGACGGCCCTGACTATCCCTGACACACAGAGAGTCACTCTGACGGCACACAACACCCTATAACTGCGTCATGACCAGCCTGCCATGCGTCGCCGGTGCCGCATTCGTCGCGGTGCTTCTTTAGCAGGCGGTGGACTGTCGGCTGCGAGGACGGTCGCATTTGCGCGAGGCGAGGCGAGCATTCAGACGCGTTGCATGCGCCATGACTCGCGCCAGCGCGTGCGGGAGCTCCTGGCTGAGCGTTGAGTCCAGGCGAGTTGCGCTGGCCACGATCGCTACGCCGAGCCGAGCTGACGCGCCGAGGCGCCGGCCAGTCGCAGCCGTGAGGCATGCCACAGCAGCAGAGGCAACTGCCACCCATTGGGCGGGCAGACAGAAGGCCAGGGCAGCACTGGCAAGTGCAACGCGCCTCATGTCGGAGAGCGACCGTGCCTCGTTCGCCGCTTATGATGTAGAGTTTGTTGTAGAGATTTCACGCTGTAGAGGGCCTCTACATCGCTCTACATCTGCATCGCTCTGTCCCGCGGCGGATGTAGAGCTCTACAGCTCTACAGCGCTCCAGAGCGCTCTACAGCTCTACAGCTCTACAGCGCTCTACACTCTACATCCTCTACACCCTCCCTCAGCTCCTTCTCCACCGCCTCCCCCCCTTCTCTAGACCTCGAAACTCGATGTAAGGTAAGTAAGGTAAACTTCTTTCTCCGCTGGTCACACGAAGCGACGGACGGCGGAGGGCGGACGGCCCGCTAACCACGGGCAACTACATGCCGGAGGTTCAACGACGACTACTCGCCGCCTGGGTCGCTTGGGGCGCGCGGCTCCGTCGAGGACCGGGCGCGCCCCTTGCCCGGCGCGGCGTAGGTCCCACTCTGACGTAAAGAGGGGAGTCACGGACGATAGCCCGATCCATCAACTACATTCATCTTCTGGTGCTTAGCCCCGTGCAGCGGCGGTCCGGCAGGCTGCCCCCAAGCCCCCCTGGGCCGCTGCGGGTTTTGGAGTTATGCTTAGGCACAGCTTCGGCGATCGCAGCCCCTCTCTGGGGTGTTGCATAGGCGGGAAGTCTCCCCCGCTGGTCTCCTCCTTCGG